ATGGATGGATGGATTGTAATAAGAGTTGTATGAGGCCCCAATAAAATGATTTAAAAAAAGAACTAGAGGAATGTTTGGGTTCCGTTGGTGCTATGGTACACCCTGGCTGACTTGTTCTTTTCTTGTGACCCTTCTGTGAGGGAATGTCCAGTTTTCTACAGATGGGCTGTGGGTCTCCTCTCCAACCCCCATAATTTGCATCAATATTTTTGTTTGTTTGGGATCTTCTGATGTCTGATACCTGATCCTGTTGACACCTCATGATCGATCACACAGGCTGGTGTGCTTCTTCCATGTGGGCTTATTGCTTCTCTGCTAGATGGCTACTTGTTTAACTTCAAGCCTTTAAGACCCCAGAGCTCTATCTTGTGATAGCGGGGCACCATCAGCTTTCTTCACATTAGCTTATGCACCCATTTTTGTCTTCAGCGATCATGTCAGGAAGGTGAAATCACAGAATGCCAGTTTATTAGAACAGAGTTCTTGCGTTGAGGGAGTACTTGAGTGGAGACCCAATGCCCATCTACTACCTTAATCCTTAATATTTAAATATATATACATAGACCTATGTTCCTATGACTATATTTATATATTAATATATTTACATATGGGCATGCCTATATTTGTACCTCTATAAGTGTCTTTTGCTTTCTAGTTCTTTCCTCTCCTTTTACTCTCCCCGTCCCGCTATCATGTTTGATCTTCATTGGACTCTCAGTACTTTCTCTCAGCTACATTGCACGTGATCAAACCCCACCAGGCATTCTATGTCCTACTCACCTCTGATTTTAGGTCTCTTATTGTTCCCTTCTTTCCTGCCCCCCACCCCCTTTCTCCCACCTCCTCCTCTCCCATGTCCCCCTGGAGCCATTGGTCCTGTTATTTTCTCCTTGGGACTGGTTATCCTGCCTGTCTCATATGGAGAGACAAGAGAAAAAGAAAAAGAAGGGGGTGGTGGCTATAAATAGTTCCAGGTCTGTCTGCTGACCCTTCTGATCATTTTCTAACCGGATCTGGTGAAGTGCACGCCCTGCCCACCAGTTCCAAAGTCTATTTTCGTTAGTCCTCATGGACATCATTGCTGGGCTCCCCTTGCTGCTGTGTTGCACTCCCTTTGTGTTTTGCTCCAGTGGGGGGCAGGGGTATCCAACTGGGCACAATACCGGCACTGTCTCCAGTGCCGCCTGCTCCCCATGGAGGGTCAGTGAGGGTCCGCTCTTTCATCACCAAGGCTAGATTTTCCGATGGATGCGTCTTCACTTCCAACTTTCTCATTCCAATCACCAGTAGCTATCATGCATCTTGATCTCATGTTTGATCCATTTTATCTTGGTGACTGGGGGTCTTTTGGGTCCCCTTCTTCAATTTCGTGTCCAGGGAGGGCTGCACTTGCCTCACCCTAGATCTACCAGAGCGGGCGTAGGATAAGTACTTCTCAGGAACTCGGAGCTCCTGGCCTTGAACCTAGTTCCCCAAGCCTCCACAACTCGCTTTCAGGATTGGGTTGGCCAGTGACCTTGTCTCGTGCCAGCTCCTTACAGCAGCTCAGCCTGGAGCTCCAGCTCACAAGCCCTTGTGTTGCAGGGGCAGCGACCGCTGCCGGCATTTTGTCATCAACCAGCTCCCCAACCGGCGCTACCTCATCTCTGGGGACACCCACAGTCATAGCAGTCTAGCTGAGCTCGTGTGCCATTACCAGGAGGAGCAGCTGGAGCCCTTTGGGGAGACCCTGGCTGCCGCCTGCCCCCGGGTAGGCCTGCTGCCCCACTTCCCCAGGGAGAGGGTGGCAGGGCAGCATGCCCGGGTCCCAGGCTGTCCATCATTTGCCCACGTGCCTCTTATCACTTCCCTCTTTCCTGGGGGCATTCCCTGCAGGACCAGGGTCCTTTCCTGGAAGGAGAGACTGAGGCAGCATCTTACTTGGGGTCAGGGAGGAGGTCTTGGTCCCCCTCCAGCAGTCCCTGGAAGGTGCCTGAAGGGTGGCCTGGGGCTTATGACCTCATGTCTGCCGTAACGACCCTTCCCCCCACAGCTGGAGGACGACGATTTGTATGATGCCATCACCGTGGGCCTCCCCCAGATCAACTCGGGCCTGGAAAGTCAACCCATCACCACGGCTCCCCCCACATCGGCCCCAAAGCAAGCTGCGGGGCCTTGCCCTGCTTCCAAAGCCCAGGTCTCCTTCCTGCACACAAAGAAGGGCTGCTGGGAGAGCCCCTGGAAGCCCTCTGAGGATGGCAGCATGGAGGTGAGGAGGGGTCTGGGCCCCCAGGTTCCAGGTCGCCAGCCAGCCAGGAGACAGTCGGGCCTGACAAGTCCTGCTGGCCATCCCTCCCGCCCCAGAGTAGCATTCCCAGTGGGTCCACAGCAACCCCAGGCCTGCTGGATTCGGTCCGGGGCTTGATTGGTTCCACATGTTGCTCAGGTTGTGTGGTTTCGGGCAAGTCACTGGATCTCCCTGAGCCTCCGTTTCCCATTGCTAAAATCACACGGGGCTTGGCTGAAAAGATACAAAAAAACTGAAAAAATCTCTGGTAGCTGCCGAGCAGGTGCGTGTGAGTCAGTATCTTATCGTCGTCCTTCACAGCACCTCACAGGAGGGACTCAGGGAGCGACTGAAATATGTGCTGGGCTCCCCAAGACTCTCCCCAGGGGTTCTGCTGCCCCTCTCCTTTTCTCACTCCTCTCTGGGTCATCCTCAAGCTCGCCACGCTTGTTCCCACCTTAGGACCTTTGCACGTGCCATGCCCCCCCCCTCACAGATGCCCTTCCCCACCAGAGAGCTGCATGCTCACACTTGCTTCACCCGGCTCTCTGCTCAAATGCCCCCCCCACCCCCACCCACCCCGTCCTTCTCTCTAGCCCCTGACACTGCTTTGCTCTCCCTTTAGCTCTGCTCATGACCCAACACGCTATTGTTTTAAGACGTAGTGTGATCGCTCGATTAGCACACACCGTATTGCATTGTCTAACTGCTCCCAGCAAACCCCATGCAGCATCTGGCTCACTGGAGTCACCGCCACCAAGGACAGTGGCTGCCACACAGTTGGTGCTGAAGGCATTACCCGAAGGATGGAATTAGGTTGGGCCTTCCTGGTGGGGGGTAGGGGCAGTGAGCGAGTGGGTCCAGGGGTCTCTGAGAGACCAGCACACCTCTTTGGAGGGAGCCTTATTGCCGCGCAGGGTGAACTTGGGCCGAGAGTAGAGCTGGTGACCCAAGGCTGTGAAAGACCCTATACCATGAGAGTGGACAGGGACCCTGGGGGTGTGTCCAAACACTACGTGCAGTGACCCGGTAACAGAGCAGGGTCGAGACAGGGGGCCTCAGCCTACATGAGATCACTTGTTACCTGGGAAACCCCGAGGCTCACAGCCACCTACCTCCTTGACTCAGGGGTCCCACAACCATACATCTCTATGGGGGCAGCCAGCCTCGTTGCTCTCCCGAGGAGCGGCTGGGTCGGGAGCATCCTAACGGCAGTGGTGCCCTTTCAGAGGATCTTTGCCCCTCTCTCCCCAGACCCCCATCAGGGTGCCCCCGCTCCCCAAGAGGAGTGCCTCCCTCCTGGAGGAGACTTGCGGAAACTCCGGTGACATCATCTACGCAGACCTGAGGAAGACAAGCCAGACCCCGCTAGCCCCGGGCATAGAGGGCTTCAGCAGGCAGGGACTGGGTCCTGCTGGCAGCCAGGCCTGGTCTCCAACCAGGGAGGTCCTGAGGAGGCCCTCACAGGGGAACCAGAACAGGCCTGATGGCCTAGGGCTTGTCCTTCCGGGGCTGAGCCCAGACCAGGGCCCAACGGTATCTCCCACTTCTTGGGGCTTCCTCCTGCCCCCTAGTTCTGAGGCCCTCGGGTCCCCAGAGGTGACCTGGAGCCAGCGGTCTCCGAAGCGGAGCCACAGGGCTCAGTACGGCTCACAGGATAGCTTGGCAGAGACCTACGAGCTCATTCAAGCTGGAGCTACCTACGAGCAGATTCCAGCCAGCTGGGCAGGCCATGCTGCCTCGGCACATCCTGGGCCCAGAGCCATCTACAGCCAGCTGTCAGGGCCCATGGACTGTGACTCCACGAGCCCCCCTGAGGTCGGGAACACCTATGAGCGGATCCCAGCAGCCAGGAGCAAGGAACCATGGCGGACGAACAAGGTAGGCTCTGGGGGTGGGCCAGCCCTCAGGGAGCACCTAAGCGGGGAGGGGGTACCTGTGGTCTCAAGGCACGGCCGGCCTGGTCTCCCCACTGCCCAAGTGGGAGAGGGAGCCACTAGGTGCAGCAGAAGCTGGGCCTTCCTTGTCTGCTTCGGTGCCCAGTGGCACCATCTATGGCCCCAATCTCACCCTGATGTGGACACCAAGACCGCCCGTTGGGGCCGTGGGAAGCCTGGGGCTTGGACTTGGATCTGTTCCCTTTTCTGGGTCCTTCCTCCCCGTGCGCCCCCTTAGAAGAGAACCGATGCTTAGCCCACACCTGGAGGGCGGGTGGTAGCCTCGGGCCCTTTGAGATGCTCATGGGAGCAGGTGGAAGTGCCCATCCCTCTCCTGACTTGGTCCCACTCCCAGGGCCCCAGCCCCCAGAACGTGGTGGCCAGACCCTCTGAGCCTGGGTCTCTCCTTCCCTGTCCAGGGACCCAGGCCCAGCATCTTCTCCCTCCTTGCAGCCTGACAAGCTCCGGAGGCTCTTCTTTGCGGACAAGAAGTACAAATTCTGAGGGTCTAAGCATCCAGCAGGCCCACACACGTGGGCCTCCTGGTCCCTGGGCTGTGGTTTCAGGGAGGCTCCCCGCTCGCCGGAAGACACACCTAGGATCCTCAGACCCGACCAACCTGCGGCCCTGCTTCCCCAGTGCCTGCTGCCCACCCATAGGAGGCAACCAGGGTTCGAGAAGAGTGGGGCTTGGCCTGAGGCAGGGGCCATCATACCCATTTCCCGGACAGGCTTGGTGAGGCCTGGGCTGCTGGGCAGGGCCTGTGCTCCTTGGACATCTTCCTAATTGGCCGAGACACTTCCTGGCCTGGCTCAAGACCAACCAATGCCAATCCCGTTCCTCGGGGTCTATCAGCAGGAAGGAGAGGGACCCAGGAGTCACAACCTTCTGACGCTGTCTCATGGACAAGAAGCCAGGGAACTGGCTGCCCTGGTTCTGACCCTGGAGTGCGCCCCGCTCCCCTCTGTCCCCACCTGCCCCAGGATCGCCGTGCATGCTGGACAGGCCCCAAGCCCCAACCACTTTTATGGTGCAGATGGGGAAGCTGGGGTCCAGAGAGGAGCAACAGCATGCCCAGGTCACTCCGCAGGGCAGGGCCTGGGCAGACAGCCTTCAGCACGGCAGGCCTAGCTTGGGCTGCTTCACTGGGTGGTTTCTGGAACCCTCCAGAAGGCCCTTGTGGTCACCCCGGCCTGATCAGGTCACCCTGGATTGCCTTCTGCCGTTAGGCTCTTCCTGGGCTTTAAGGGAAGCTTCTAGAACCCCCTGATGAGTCCCAGCCCTGCTCTGGCGGTCCTGCCCTCCAAGGACCCTAAGGATCCAGCCCTGGGCTTGACACCCAGGCCTCTCTCTAAAGCCAGGCAGCCTCTTCTTAGAGGCCCTTCCCTCTGGCCCCTTCCTGTTTTGTCCTCACTTCCCCTCTTACCCACCTGTCCCCGTGACCAGGAGGATGAACCATTGGCCTGCTGCCCCCAGGCCCCGGAAGCAGAAAGCAGAACTGGCCCCCAAAAGCCACCCTCACTGAGCCCCTGACCAGAGCAGGCACCCTTCACATTTGTGGGAGATCTACCCTCAGGTGCCTTGTGGCTCTGCAGCGTCACCTGACAACTAGGGGTTCTCAGGGAGGTGAAGGGGGGGGGGGCTGTGTGGACAGGGAAGCCCCCAGCCCCGTGGCTGACATGTAGTTGGCATACTATACATGCCAGCCTGCACCGACATCCTCATAAAGGGAGTAGAGATGAGTCTGGCCCTGCGTTCTTTGTGGGGTTCACACAGAGATGGGGGGCACTGGTGGGGCAAAGAGTGTCTAATGTGGGCGGGCCGGGCTTCACACGGAGAGCCAAGCAACCAAATGTACTGCCACCGCGTCCCTGCTCCTAGCGACCCCACAGGACGGGGGAGAACTGCCCCTGGGGCTTCCTGAGACTCTCCCCGAAGGAGCACATGCCGGCGTGCTCCCGTGGGCAGCGGGTAGTTCAAACTGACCGTGTGCACATCACAGCTCAATGCCTCCACCGTGCCACCCAGGGAAGTTCATGACTGCAAGGCCCAGGAGAGAAGGCCCGTCGAGTACCTTCTGACATGGGTGGGTGCAGGTCCTGCCCGAGACAAGAGCTCCGATCAGCAGACAACACTCGCCAGTGAGGTTCTCATGTTATTGGGAAGGGTGGACAGGGTGGTGCTCGGCCCCAGAGGCCCTTAGGCCCAAGGTGGACCTAGTTTCACATTGGGGGGCGGGGAGTGAGGGTACAGGTAGTGGGTGAGGTGTGGCCCAGCCTTGGGTTTTTGGAGAAAGATTGCATAGCTCATTAAAGCCCTGTCCCCACCCCAACCCCACCCCTTTTTTTTGCACTCTGCCCTAGGCAGCTGGGGGTGGGGGTGTCCCTCTGACTGTTAGGGATGGAGCCCGGTGGGGGTTGGGCAGTGGTGGAGAAGAGGGAGAGGTACCTGGAGGGGCCTCAGGTCTGGGTGGGACCACAGGGGCTTGGGAAGGGGCCTGCTCCTCACCGCTCACCCCATCCATCTCCCCTAGGTGAGGTGGTTTGTTTTTTGCTGAAAGGGCTACAGGAAATGTTCATGGGTGTAAACTCCAGAGGCTGGGGCTCCTTTCCCAGGGGGCCTGGGGGTCACATCTGTACAGACAGCAGGACTGTAGGGTAGGCTCCTGGGCCCTGCACCATGGCAGCTTCCTCAGATCCGGACGTGGAAGGTGCTGGGAAGAGAGTAAGAGGGGTCAGAGACCCAGTATTAAACGGCTGAAAAGCAAACCAGGTCCTCAGCCTGCCCTGCCAGCGTTCGGTGGGGTGGGGGGGTGGGGGGGGAGATGGGGGGGAGCTTTGCGGGAACCCCCCTAGCCAATCCATGCTGAGGTTCTTGTGTGGACCAGGCTTGGGGGAACCCGCTGCCCTGGGGATTCCAGCTCCCCCATCACAACCTCGGGACCCCAGGGCCCTGACCCTTCCCATGTCGAGAGCCTGGTCCTGCAGAAGTCCACAGCCCCAAACGTAACCTCCCGCCAGGGCCTGCTGGGTACCACTGCTGTCGTGAGCCGCCTGAGACACAGCCCGTAGGGTCCCAGGCAGCCAGGCTGCCTGGCTCTGGCCCCACGTGCAGGCCATGCTGGGCCCAGCCCACCCTCCCTCTGGGCAGTGGCACCTGAGAAAGTCAGGGGCCTTGGCGATCATGTCCTCAAAGTCGGCGAATCCCAGCTTGCCGTCCCCATCCAGGTCGGCCTCCTCGATGACCTTCTCACACACCAGCACCACCTCCTCCTCGTCCAGCTCCGACTTGGTCAGCCGCGCCAGGGTCATCTCGAGATCTTCCTTGCAGATGAAGTTGTCAGTGTTGAAGTCTGTCGGGGTTGGAGATGCTCCAGGCGGGGCTGGTGCCCCTCAGGGGTCCAAAGGGCCCGGTTCCTATGCCACCTCTTCCTTGGACACTCCTAAACCTGATACTTCCCCCCGCTTCCCAGCCTCTGGAGTCCCCAAAGCACCTCCACCTATACTCTGGGGACCCTGGATGCTTGTCCTGGCTGATAGAGGGTCCCCCCAGGCCCCAGTCCACCCACACGGGGTATCTGAAATCCTCATGTCCAATACATTTACACTCACGGCAAAACCGCACGAGGACTGGGCCCCCATCCTATACTGAGACCACTCAAGAGTTCAAAGCTGAGGCTCCCTGTAATATCAGGCCCAGGTCCACTGGCCTCCCTGGCCTCACCACACAGGGGATCCTGTTTGACCTCTACGGTCACGGACACTGACTCCCACACAGGGTCGGGATTCAACAAAGGCACAAAGCCCCTCCAAGTCAGAGCGGGATCCTGAGCTGGGCCTGTTGGGCTGGGCTGCTGCGGCCAGTCACAAGGGTCAGGAGGCGCAGAAGGCCCCGGGGGAGGGGCTTCATGGCTGACCTGTGCGCACACACACTAGAGAACATGGTTTATTCTGTGTGACAAAAGGCAGCGACGTGGCTCAGAGCCGGGAGTGGAGAAGTCAAGCTATCCTCCTCCCTGTTGTCAATGCATCCACTCGGTCTCTGCACGTGCCTCAGGTAGGGGCATCCTTCCATTTACCTGTCCACCACCTCCCAGCCATCCTTTGAGTCTCCGCTCCAACACCACCCGCAGGAGGGGACTTCCCAGAGGGAGGCGCTCCCTTGGGGATCCCTCCTTGCCTACTGACAGGGCACAGGCCTTCAGGGCCTTGATGGAGGTGGTAACCCTTGTTGTTTCTGAGCCCTCTCCAAGTCTGGGAGTCTGACGTGGATCCGTGGCTGAGCCAGGATGCTGGCTTAGATTGTCCTTGACTGCTCTGATCCGGTCAGGGCCTGGGCCTGGGTGTCCCCCTCTGAGGACTGCCCGGGATTCACCAGCAGAGCCACACAGGGCACAGGCGGCTTCCTTCCACTGTGGGAGCCCCATGGCTCACGGGGCCCCGGTGCCCCCTGGCGGCCTGTGAGGAGGCTGGGCCGGAGGGCAGGGTGGCGGCCTCCGTCACCACCAGGGCCACCCGGTTCAGGCCTCCAAGCCACAGAGTGCTCTTTCTGGACTATACAGCAGCCTTTCCCCACCTGACGCCCATCGGGGTACTGGTCCCCTAGTTCTCTTGTCCCGATTTACCTCTCCAGCTCAAGGTGACCCCTCATCCCTCCCATCCTCATCACAGTTGTCAGCCCCTCCTCTCCTGTCAGACCCAGCTTCAGTGCTACCCGTGTGACCCCTCCTCCTGGTAACCATCCCTACCTTGGGCGCATCCAGCCCCCACCTCTTCTGGCCTCAGGAACCCCACCCGATGGCCCTTACATGCATTGTGTCCCCCAGCCCCACGGTGGAGAGCTGGCAAGACCTGGTTGTGCAGGGACCCCCAACGCCACCACCCTCCACACCGGGGCGGCTCCGCACCGTAGATCTTGAAGGCGTAGTTTGCCTTGAGGTCTCGGGGCGCTGACTCGCAGAGCACGGAAAACATGTCCACAAAGTCGTTGAAGGTGAGGTTGCCTTCGCCGTCCTCGGAGAAGGCCTCCACAATCCTCTCCTTGAAGGGGTTCTCCTGAAGGTGACAGCGGGGACCCACCCCGGGGCGGGTCAGCTGAGGGGGCTCGGGGCCGGCTGCTCGCATGAGCGGCCTCATCCCGAGCCTCAGTTTCCCCATCTGTAACCCCTGGCCCGTTAGGCAGGACGACGCGGTGCGCTGCGAACGACGAGGTCGGCAGTCTGAAACCACGCAGGGGCCTTCTGCTCCTGCAGAGTGGCAGGCTCAGAGACAAACCCACAGGGGCAGGCCTGCCCAGTCCTGTGGGGTCGCGCTGAGTCGCCATCGCCTGGATAGCAGGGAGACTGTTTATAGGACTGAGCCGCACGGGCTCTGTGGCCTCCGGGGCTGTAGCTCTTTACAGGAGCCAAAGCCGTCCCCTGCGGGGCAGCAGCGGGGTTACAGTGCTGACCTTGCAGTTTGCAGCTGAGGGCTTCATCTCAGCACCACCAGAGCTCTGAGACGGAAATACTGGCTGGTGATGCGGGTGCAGTGAGTTACCACAACTGAAGCCCAGACCCGCTGCTGTTAGGTACGCTGGGACTCGGAGGTATCCTACAGGGCCAAGGGTGAGCAAACTGCCTCCTCTTCCTCCCCAGGGGCAGCTCATGGGTTTGAACCACTGACTTTGTAGCTAGGAGCTAAACTACGTGGAGTGCTACTGCGAGGCCTGGGTCACAGCAGAGCTTGCCAGGTGTTATATTACCCACTGCCATCTGGTTCATGCTGATGCATCGTGACCCTCAGAACAGAGTGGAACTGCCCACGGGGTTTCTTTCTAAGTCTTTCTGGGAGCAGACAGCCTCATCTTTCTCCTGAGGAGCAATGGTGGGGTTTGAGCCACCAACCTGGCAGTGAACAATCCAGCTTACCCCACTGCACCACCACTGAGACAAACCGCAAAGGCCTCACTGATCCAATGCAGGCTCACTGGAGGCAGCGGCAGGGACTATCCGCACCCAGAGGAGCACGTGGAGGCCCCGCCCTCAACGTTCAGAGCTATGGCCCAGCAAGTGACGATCACAGCCCGGCCATGGGCAGCCCTCAGCTCAAGTGTGTCCGGCCAACACCGTGGGAGACAGACGTGGGGCCAGGGGAAGCAGCAAGAGCCACAGAGCCAGCTCAGACACACATACCCTCTCCACTCCTCCCCTCAGCGGGCAACCACCGAGTGGTGTTGCTGAATACGACTCACAGGGCAGAATAGGATTATCACCATATGGTTTCCCAAGGAGCCCTGTGGTGTAGTGGTTAAGCACTGGGCTGTTAACTGTAGGATCAGAGTTCAAAACCACCAGCTGCTCCTCAGGAGAAAGAAGTGGCTTTCTGCTCCTGTAAAGAATTAGTGTCAGAAACTCTGACTGATAGGACCACTATCCATGGCAGGGAGTTTGGCTTTTTTAATAGGATTTCCAAG